AGATGTGTATAAGAGACTTATAGCAAGTATCTACCTGGGAGTAATATCCAATTATTTTTATCCATGTCTCTCTCCACATGATTAAATGCATTATTTAACCCCCTATTTCATTTCCCCCAGCCCGCTTGTACAGGATGTGCCCCGTCAGCAATACTGAATATTGTATCTTGGCCCTATACTATCATGACCAGACCATCAAACCTTTTGTCTCTTTTCACATGATTAAATTTTCTGGGCTCCTGGTCTACTATACTAGGAACCTTGCTCACCGCTAGCTGCTACAGATTTAGGCCTTTAGGGTAGAATATTGTTAAAAAGGTAGGCCTCTGTAAGTAAGAACCTAAAAATATGCCAAGCCTCTACTACTACTAGTCTAGGCTAGGCCTACTACTCCTGACTCCATCCAGACGAGGCCTGAGACATCTTCCTGGAAAGTTAAAGTTTTGTTGTATTTGTATGGTATGCCATCTAGTCTAAGCTTAATTGTTTTTGCCATTGCCAAAATTAGTCTTACTAGGGTCTATTCTAAATATTTTAGGCCCGTTTTATTAGGGAGGACTATTTAAATTTAGTCGTGCCTAACTAGTCGACGCGAGTGACTCAGTTTCGTGGCTCCAAAAATATAAACATTTAATTGGTTGAAATTGTTTATTTCGGTCCGCCCATTTATCCAAATACGGAATATAAGATTACGTCATTCTTTTGGCATCCTGGTGCCTGATTTCAGTGTTTTACAAGTCGCTTATTCCATCTCTAAATTTGCTCTAAATTAACTTTCTCGTTGGTGGCGCTGTCCAGAATGAGAAAAATAATAACAAATAAGAGACTTGTGGCAAGTCTATTTCAATACAAGCTATTGATGTATTAGTAGACTTTAAGTTGTACATTGGCTTGTTACTCATTCATTCATGAGAATTACCATGTTGCTCTGGTCAATCATGGATTAGCTCACCAGAAATGATTACTTTTATAAGAGGACAGGTTTGCAGAACATCATGTCCTGCATTATGAAAAGCTGGGCCACTTAACACCAACCGTTGTCAATGAAGAACGTAACAAAGTCAACTATCACTTTTATTATCTGCATAATAGTTATGTTATAATTAGTATTGTTTGTTAATCATATTGTAATTAATATTCTTATTTTATTCTTATTTATATAATTGTCAGTGTTAATATTTTATTGATTTATTGTTAATAGTGTGATTGACATTTTTTGATGAACATATTTTGATTGACAAATTTGTAGCCAAGCAATGAAAACTCATCTGTTGGAACATTAATAAGTTTTGATGACGAGCCAGCAGCACCAACACATCAGCCAAGCCCTGCAGTTGGACAGCTTTCACATCAGTTAGCTGGCATGAGTAAGTGATTGTTTGATTATTAATAATAATAATTCTTTATTTGTCCTCATTTTAATCAGGAATTTTGGCTGGGGACTTGTGACTGGCAGCCGCAATGCGTCACCCGACTTAAGTACGATAGTATAATACATACTCCAAGTATCGAAATGCACGCCATCGTGTCGGGATTCAATATTTCGACATTAATTATGTCATCATCAGGAATGAGCAGCACCCTGGGTCATTTAGAGTGTACCCCACCCCGGACTTAAGTACAGTACAGTACAATTTACATATGGATACAAACATTGCCTATAACCCACCTAATTCTCAATACAAGGGTTATTTGATGATAACTACCGTAAGGCTATATGATTATAAGACGACCCTGAGTTTGAGAAGATTTTTGGACGATTTTTATATGTCGGGCGTATAAGACCACCCCCGTATTTCATCGTTGGTGTTCCTACTTTTTACTGCTGTTTATGGTCTCCATACTACATCTAGCTGGCTGAAAATGTAGCCAAGTTTAAGGGTAATCTACCAAATAATACCATTTTATGGGTTAAACATTCATCAAAATCCTATTTCCCCTCATTTAAATTGCTTTCATTTATACTAACAGTATTAGCTTCCTTTCAGTAAGAAATTTGAATGTTAAGCCTGAATTCCAATGCGAAAATTATTGTGAATGTATTAATGAATTAATGAATTAATGTGAATTAAAAGTGTTGGTTTGCTTCGTGTTAAAGTGGGAATTACCTCTTTCATTTAAAATCTCTGATCAAGTGATAATACATTAATGATATGGCTGAAAGTCCAGAGCCCAAGGGGGGGGGGGACGAGGATTGCAGAGCTTGAGGACCTTCATAATGGGTATAAGAAGACTCCATTCTTCTTCAGACTATGTCCAACACCCCCCGCCCCAGACCATAGGTCATTCTCCCATTGATTACAACTTCCCCCTCCCTAGTTTTAAAAAAATTCAGGGGCAGAAAAAAATGTCACTAATTTTTATTTTTTTATTCCTACCAGCTATGGGCGGTGACAGTGTAAGCAGCACCCTTGGTAATTTAGAGTCTACCCCCACCCCGACCAGTGCAGCCAATGCTGATGACTTTGACATGTTTGCTCTTAGCAGACAGACAGTGTACCAGGACCCTACCAGAGGGTGAGGCAGAACTACTCATTTATATTTACAAAATAAGTGGATGCTATTAATTAATTAGTCCATTTCATGAATACATAATTAGGTACCTGGATAAATTCCAATTTTTTTCTTACATCTCAAAGATAATGATATGCCAATCTTACTTTATAAGCGCCTGCAAATCCATATATACATCCTCATTTTCTTTCAAACCATAACAGCAGTATCATCAATAAACATCATCTTTGTTCTAATGCTGTTAAAAATTTAAACATCCTGAGATTTTATTTTAATTTTTAAATATTTCTATCTACTATAGACACACACAACATTCTAACATCCAGTTACGATCTTATTTTATATTTATCTACAATATTTGATTTCTTTTGTGTTGTTCCTATGTGTAGTGGAAGCACTTACCAAGACAATTCCAACATGGATCAGACAAAAGGTGGACTGGCGAATGCCATGAATTCCAGGGCTGTGAACCCATTTGCAGCTGAAGCTCAAGCCGTCAATCAGGTAAGAACCCACTCATCCATTCCTTGCTATACTAATACCAGTTAACATCCTATCCACCCAATACCTTGATATGCTAATGTTAGGTAAAATCCCACACACCCTATACCTTGATATACTAATATAATAGGCAAAATCCCACCCACCCCGTACCTTGATATACTAATGTTAGATAAGGTCCTACCTACCCTTTCCCTTGCTATACATATGCCAGGTAACATCCCACCTACCCCATTCCTTGGTTTGGTTATGCCAGGTAGGATCCCACCCAACCCTTTATTATACTAATGTTAGGTAACACACCCCCTATCCGTGGATGTAACCCACCCCTAGTTGAGTTAAATCAATGTGAAGTTATTCTAGTAAACTGTTGCTAGGCTAATAATTACAGTTAAAATTCAATCTGACCCTCTACCTTTATGCTATCCAAATTTTATGCCAGATTCAACCCCACCCCACTAATTCCATGTACAACTCACCATATTATTTTTGGCATGACCCTAACCCTATTGTAAACCTTTGTTTATTTTGGCCTCTTTTTAAAAATCTAGCATGAATAATACATGTTTTTTACATTGGTTTTTTTTTTTTTAAACTTGGATTTCTTTATCATATTTGTTTAGTGCCATTATCATAATTCGCACCATATTTTGTTAATCCATTTTGTAATTCAGTTTGGTTTGTTTTCTTTTCTTTATATTAACTCATCTGTAATTATCCATTCCACCACCACAGGAAGATGTTGATGAGGTAAGGAAGCTGCAGATACTTCCTCCTTAACCATTTTTGCCTTTGTAGTTTTTCTTCTTCATATTGATACCTCCATTATTACATCTTGCCTATGGCGTCAGTGGTGTCAGTTTTTTCTGTACAATGACTGGCCGATGAGCAATCTTGTTATTATAATAGAGATCAGTGGTTTCTTGTCATCAGAAGTATAATAAAGTATTAGTGTTATTGAAAACACTGAGTAATAATTAAATAATAATATAAATATTGATTCAACTGTGAAATAACTTGCAGTTGAGGCATTGTTTCTCATACTACAAACAGTGTTGTTCGTGATTTCAATTCAATTCAATTCAATTCAACATTTATTTACTTCCTTTTTGAATCAGACAAATATATTATAATTGATTTAAAATAAATTGAAAATGCAGGAGAGGAAGAAGGCAAGAACTCGAGAAGATAAGAAAAACCAATCTTGTGGAGGGACAGCCTGAAATAAGAGGAAAAAAAATGAGATTAACAAAAGAGACAGAAAGGGACAAAAAGCAATTTCTGTACACTACTATCAAATATCTTATAGTAGCAAGATAGCACTCTCCGCGGTTTGCGTCCATTCACGCAGAAAGCAATAGAAAGTAATTGTAATTGAGAGAGAGGGTGTCCTAGTTGTTGCTATGGTTGTTGTTCCAGAATTTAATTCCACGTAGATCATAGACGTCAAAGTCCAAATGTAATTGTAATTGCAAGAGGGCGCCCAACACTGCGTTTTTACGGAATTTGCTTGCAGAAATTGCAGAGAGCGCTATCTTGTTATAAGATCTTTGGCTACTATCAGCAGTTTTTCACTACAATCTTAAAATTACGACCCAGTAGTAAAAAGTCTCCTCATTTCCCAGATAGCATGCCCCTCCCCCTTTAGCAGCTCTTCCAATCAGAGATGCTGTAACAAAGTTGTTCTCTTTGTGTTTCTACTGGATAGTTGCCACCTGATTTTAGCCAGCTAGAAAACATGGAGCAATGGCTTCAGGAGAGTGACCTGGTGAGTTGGGGGCAGCAGATATATGGCAGTTGCTTGAAGGTGGCACAACTATTCTCTGCGCCTTTGGCGTGAACTAATTAAGTGTCGTATTTTCAATTGTTAGCAAACGAAACAACTCTTCTGTAATTCTTCTGATTCTATCTTTTTTGTAGCATTACTAACTAGCTAACTGTTATCAAGTGTAGTTTTTAGCTGATGACTCTCTTTCTTTACCTCTTTTGATTGTATCATTTTATAGCATGAACTAACCACATAACAGTTAGTACATTGCAATTGTTAGTAGAGGATACAATGCTTCCATGTATCATTTTATAGCATGCACTAACCACCTAACTTTCAATACTTCTAATTTTAAGCAGATTATGCTACTTTTCTGGGTACATCTTCTGTCCGCAATTTATTGCATGATATAACCACATTACACTGCTAATGCTTTTACAGTAATCTTTTCTGTAACTCTAGATTCTTATCAGTTTAGAGCATAAACTTAACCACTAAACTGCCTATGCTTTAAGTTTTTAGCAGATGATGCAACTCTTTATGTTACTTTCTGATTCTGTCATTTAAAGCATGAACTAACCATCTAACTGCCAATACTTTTAGATATTAGCAGATGATGCAACTTTTTACTTTACTTGATTCTATCATTTTATTTATAGCATGAGTTAATCACATAAATTCCTATACAACTTTTTACCTGATTCTATCATTTTATAGCATGAACTAACTGCCAATACTTTTATTTATTAGCAGATGATGCAACCTTTTACTTTACTTGAGTCTATCATTTTATAGCATGAACCATTAACCACCTAATTGCTTATACTTTTAGTTATTAGCAGATGATTCAACTCTTTACTTGATTCTATCATTTTATAGCATGAACTAACCACCTAACTGCCTATATTTTTAGTTGTTAGCAGATGATGCAACTCTTTACTTTACTTCATTCTATCATTTATAGCATGAACTAACCGCCTAACTGCCAATACTTTTAGTTGTTATCAATTGATACAACTCTTTACTTTACTTGATTTTATCATTTTATAGCATGAACTAACTACCAACTGCCAATACTTTTAGTTATTAGCAGATGATTACTTGATTTTATCATTCTATAGCATGAACTAACCTCTTAACTATCATTAAATTGTTTAGTTAGCAGAAAAACTCTTTCCTATACCTCTTATAACGTCCTACTGTAAAACCTTGAATAGAAGCCCATTAGGCTTACTGTAATCTCGAGAAAAAGCCCATCTTGAATTAAAACGCACCACTTTTGTTTGCAAAAGTAGCCTTGAAAAGAAGCCAATCTTGGACTTCTTTTCAAGATAGCATGGGCTTCTTTTCGATAGAGTACTATACATAAACTGTACATGAATATCAAGGAAACAAAATAAATTTAAAATATGCTAATAATTTATGAGTAGTTTAGGTGATTTTATGCCAGTTAATACACTCAAGTGATATAGACTAATGCTATATTGTCCTTATTTATTGTTTCATAGTAGTAATTCCCAAAATTTACAGCATTCGTTTTGAAAAGAAGCCCCCTCTTTCCTTTGCAAAAGTAGCCTAAAAAAAAAAGCCCATCTCGAAAAGGAGCCCATCCAAAGTTTGCAAAAATAATAGCAGCCCAGGGATTCTATTGGAGGTTTTACGGTATAATTACTTGTTAGCAGATAATGCAGTACTCTTTACTTTAATGTCTGATTCTGTCATTTTATTGCATGAACTAACCACCTAACTGCTAATACTTTTAGTTGTTAGCAGATGAAGCAACTGTTTGCTTTACTTGATTCTATCATTTTATACCATAAAATAATTATCTAACTAAATTTTATAGTCAGCAGACAATTTTCTCTGTACCTTTTATGGTATTAAAGCATCAACTACAAATAGTACTGTTAATATTTTAATTGCTATCAGACAATGCACCTCTTATGGTCTTATAAATTTATAGCATGAACTACTAAAACTGTCTATACATTCAATTGTTAGCAGATAATCCAACTACTCTATACAGTTAACTTGCCCAAATCGAGTCCAAAATGACATTGAAAAATGTGTTTGACTTACAAAAATTCTACCTTTTATGATCAATAATGAGTTCATTCCAATAGACAGAATCAAGGGGTTTACCTGATTTTCATTGGAATTCTGCTTTCGCATCCAAGAGTAAAGTTATAAAATAATAGTGGGTCGCATTCAAGAGCATCAACTAATGTTTGGTGCATTCTGAATATGTAATACACATTCTAACAGTGTTTGGATATTAAACTTGGGAACATTTGTAAGCAATTTACAATAGTTTTCTGTTATTCCATCTGACAGTATTCAACATTTGTGATTAGCCATACTGCCAACATTCTTTAAAAACAACATGTTTTTATATTCTTTTGCTTCTATCGATTAGTCTGCACATATACCGTAATTTTTTTTTTACTGAATTTACACATGAATATAAGTTGATCAAAAACATAAATGATTAATTTTTTTTTTCTTGTAACAGTCTAAGGCAGTGGATAACACAGCTGCGGCCAATACGAACACAGAAGGCATCACAAGCTCAGGTCAGTGGAGTAGTCTGCCGTTAGATTTGTTTGTTTGTTGGACTAACATAATATTAATGAATGATGTATGATTTTGCTACATACAGGTGTTATGTAGCATGGAACAAAAATCTGCTACTTGAGGCGACTTGTGGCAGAAAGCAATATAAAAATGCTCAGTCCATTTACATTGAGGTCATTTGTATCTATGGTACATTACTTGTAGTGTAGAAACATAAACAACTATATAACTTGCATGCAACAAAGAAACAGTCCATCTACATTCACATAACTGTAGCATAGAAGCATACTGAAGATCATTTGTAGCATCGAAACAACTCATTGCTACATTGAGCTCAATTGCTGAAGTCTATTAACACTACTTCTCCTCTGCCAGGTGAAGCAGCAACATCATTCCCGCAGGGTGAGCGCCATTAGGGAGCTTTCGATTTGTTCGGCGACGCTAGAACCAAGTCACTCATGCGTGACCGTCCAACAAGCCATCCTACGTAGATTTTGCAAAATTGTATACTAGAATCCACACGATGAGGAGAACTTAACGTTCTCGCATGCGCAGAAGGCTTTAATGATGTCATTGCGTTCTACGTTCGTCATGCAGTTGAAAGCTCTCTATTAATCAAAACATCTACTTAACGTGTGCATGAAACACATGTCTTGATATGAATGGCTTTTTCTGTGCTTCAGTAATTTGAGAAATTCATTAACATTAATTTGTGTATTAAAGGAGAAGTTTACTAATTTTGTATAATTTCTTAACTGATTTAGCATGCTCAGTTACATAATATCAGTGTCACTTTTTAAAAATTTCCAATATCGTGTGCACACATTACGTAAAAGCTCCCAACTAGATTTGTGATGATGTCGCTAGTGTATTGCTCCAATCAAGTTTAGCGACAGGCCATTGTAATGAATAGGAATAGGATGATTCCCAGATAAGTTCTTTGTAATACAACTATCCTTGTATTCATATAAAATACTATCAAATTGCTCAGGTAGGCAAAGAAGTAGTAAAATTTGTAAACCTAGAGGAAGAAGCAATTGTACGTTGGAGAGAGAAGAACGAGAAAAAATAGGCATAGTTTAGCCAGCAGTACTTACTGTAGATTACATGATTAGGCCAGTATTGCCCTACTCAAAGGTTGTGAAGCAATGACAACGGGAAATGAATTTGTAAGCTGTCATGAGTTTCCTGGTTAATAGCACAAGTAAATTTCCCATACGATTAAAAGTCATAACGGTACTGGGTTTGGTCTGCAGGATTTTGTGCTTCGAACAGGTCATTCCATTCGTAGAAGAAGCTTTTTGATGGAGAAAGTGTATCTTTTTAGCAAGAGTTGCCTAGGTCAAAACTAACTCTGGCTATATAAGGTTGATAATAAGATTGAATTATTAATTTTATTAATGTAAGAAATACTATGCTCACGTTTAATTAATTATAGTTACAATTTTAATTGATATAAAATTAAATTTCATAAGGGGTCTTTATCAGCATTTTCACAAGTGTACAAACAGTACTCTTTTTTCAGTACCCCCTCCTCCTTCCCTTCTGAAAGTGTACATACAAAATGTTGATTTTGCAAAACCATTCTCCATTTTTTTGTGAAGTCAACTAATGTACTGTACGTGGTTACTTAAAAATGTATGTTATATCCATGGTTGCATTATAATTGGTCATAAAAATCTATTATTTTGAATAATGCATGTTATTTTGAATCAAATTTATGTAAAAGTGTACAAATTTGTCTACCCCCACACTTGTGAAAATGTTGATAATTGTGAATGACTCCTAAGTATTTATAAGTTTGAAATATATAGTTTATTATAATTTTCTGTATAATATTAAATGAAGTAATCCTGTAAATGTAATGTTAGTATTATATAACATTAATTAATTATTGTACATTTAATGTACTCTATGAGAGGAAACAGGAAGAATATTAGCAGATTTAGATCTACGTAACAAACGCACACAGGCTACATAATTTTGAAAATAGGATATTATGTATTTAAACTAAATCAGTTTAAAAATTTTACAAAATTAGTGAAGTTCTCCCTTACATGCTGCTCTAGTTCCATCAATCAACTTTTATTTCGGACATATCCATAACAAATATAAATATAATGATTTTTTAAAATTAAATGTATTGTATTTCTTGGATCATTATTAGTTATCATTCGCAATATTATATCAACATTTTATAATGCCTCTACTATTTGTTATTGAAAGCCTATGTTCCTTAGGAATTAAATAGTTTTACTGTGTATCCCTGTTTATGTAACTAGTAATAATTAATAGAAACTTTCACATGTAGGATTCTCCTTCCTTACAAAACAAGGTCTCATAAATCTCGGAAGCTTCGATGAGGGTAGTATACTAGAGGCAGTAGAGTATATTGGCAATAATGGCCGCCCATACAAAAAAGATCTATTAATCAATCAGAAAAAAAGATCAGTCTAGCAGCCGAGTATTCCTACTGTAGAGATCCTCGTAGGAGCTAAAATTAAATTAGTATTTTGCATGGATTAGTGTTTGTCAACTGTTCAAGTATGAGTTAAGCTCTGTCCAGATTATAAATTTTCCATATATAGTCATGATGTGATGTCATCATGACCATATTTAGTCATGTCACATTGACTATGCAATGGACGTTTCCAGACTGTCAATCAAACTTAGCAACCATACCAATTGATTAGTGTTTGTCAACTGTTCAAGTATGAGTTAAGCTCTGTCCAGATTATAAATTTTACATATATAGTCATGATGTGATGTCATCATGACCATATTTAGTCTATTTGTGTGTGTATGTCCTTGTATCTATCCATCTATCTATTTCACTCTCTGTTGATTACTCTAGTCAAGCCTATTTCTACTTTTCATCTACTGTATATTGATGAATTTATCAGTCAGTTTATCAACTGATGTGTTTTAATCTATTTATCTACTTTCTTGTCAATCGATCGTTCAATATTTATTAATTGGTCGATTAACTATCAATCAATCAATTTGTAATGTCATACTTTTCTGTCTACAGTAATTTCATCTATCAGTCTTTAATTGCTTTCTATTCATCTCCTTATTGTGCATGTACACAGTGGTGGACCCAGAAGCATGGCAATGAGAGCATTTACCCCCTCGTCAGACAGGCCTGTACCCCCTAACAACCGACGCGACGACAAGGTCGTCAGTCCAAAAATAATAACATTATTTTGATTGCCAGTCCCTAATATTAGGGAGCTTTCGATTTGTGCGACGACGCGACGCTAGAACGGAATCACTCATGTGTGACCGTCCTACCTGGCGTCATACATTCTCTGCATACGTAGATTTGGCCAAATTGCGTTCCAGAATCTACTTGACGACGTGACCTTAACGTTCTCGCATGCGCAGATGACTTTTAGTGATGAGATTACGTTCTACGTCCTACCGTCGTCGTGCAATCGGAAGCTCCCTAATGTGGTTTAAAGCACAATTTTGGCCATACTAAGGCAGTGTTCTCCCGAAGCCGTTTTAGCTGTCTTTTTTTTCTAGTAAAAATAACCGGCCAAAAAGTAAAAATTTTGAGTTTGTAAAATAAAAAACCTACTGATTAGACCTAGGTAGTCTAGGCTAGCCGTCTTTCAATAAATTAACATCATTCCAGTCTATATGCCCAGGCTATGAATATTTGTGTTATTTGTTTGAAGTCATTAAATCCCACTCAAAAGGGGTAACACCTCTCAAAGGGAATAATGCCACACACTGCGTGCATTGCTGAATTTTTATGGACAAATTTACCTGTAAACAATTTTTCAGTTGGGAGAATAATGCAAGGCATAGATACATCTCAACATGAACCCTACCAAGATTTTATTCCCGGACCCTGACTCTAGTCCGCCCCCGGGTTCAGTTCCCCTGTTGGACATTTCTGGAGCCACTTCTGCTTGTACAGTATCTATCTGCTTTTTAATTTGATACCTTTGCCTCCATGCAACACATCAAATCATTGAAAATGTCATTTTCGGTAATTTTAAAGCATTTTGTGTCGTCATTCATTCATTCATTCATCTTATTAAAACCATCATGTGATTATCATATATGTCATCAAGTTTGAGATCCATTTCATCATTCCTCATATCTTGTCTGGTCATGGGACTTTTTATTGTAAATTACATTATCTCATAATATTCAAATGTTTAATATTGTTTTGTTTGCATTCAATATTGATGGTATTGTCTTATTGTCTGCTTTGTCTTTGCTGTTGCGGATGGTGTTTATATTGCAGTATTGATTGTCATGATTTTATTTAATTTTTTATTTAATAAACGTCTCACAAGACAGTGACGGATACGAGCCAACAGGTGACAAACACCTCTACAATGGCCTGCTCTAATGAAATACAAAAATAAAAATATAGCTATCTAATGCATAAAACTGTGCAATACCAATACAATAAAATTTGAAAAAAAAAGGTGAAAAATGACAAGAAATTACGATAAAAATTGAGAATGGAAAAACCATGACGACAAAAAATGAATAAGAAAAGTATATAATACTGTTCTTCAACGTGTCATAGATGACAGGCAACTTGGTAGAAACCAATTCATCAAAAAAAAAGTTTCATTTATAAATATTAATTTGAACAATTTTGTAAATATCATTCAGTTTTCCGTATTTATATGTTCAGTCATTGTTTGTACACAGTCTCTCTTCACAATATACTACTAACACCACATATGTCAATGGCTGCCAAATATCTGTAATTAGACGGCTACAACTACCGGTACCAGTATAATAATTTAAAATAATAATAAAAAAAGCGCATTATAATGACGAGTGGGGCGGCGCATTAATCTCCTTTAAAGTATAAGATTTTTAAAAATTATTATTATGTTACTTATTAGAGAAGTTACACTACTTATAAATTAGTAGGATAGAGGGATAAACGATCTAAAAAGTGTTTTTTGAAGAATTTTAAATATAAAAATGGTAGACACACAATTAAAAAATGTTTTGTTCTTGTCATTCTTCCAGAGTTTGATAAATTCTTAGAGGAGAGAGCAGCAGCTGGTGATACGCTTCCAACTCATGGGTCAACCGTCAATCGAGGAGGTCGTCAGTTGAAGATGGAGGAGACAGAAAACACAATGTTTTCATTATAGTTTGTAAATTATATATCTACCTGCTAACCAGGTTAAAGGTACAAAAATGAAGCATATTACTTATTAGGAGTGCTTCTTGTATAGAGAACAAATATGAATATGATTTATACTTTAATAATAATTAGGCCATGTGAAAAAAAGAGTTGTTGATTGTACTTCTTTTTTTTTTTTAAAGTCTGTAGGGAGAGAGGTTTTTTTTTTTTTTTTTAAATCAGCAATGAAACCACCGCATTAATGCATGCCAAGTCTTCAAACTCCCCCCATGGAGTCCAAGGCCTCATGTAAATGATTTTGACGGATTTTCATGAGTTTTGGTGAAAATAAAAAAAAAAAAAAATTGCTGGGGCGATTTTTTTTAATGTATGTATGGAGGGGAATGATCAACAACTTATATTTTTTACATGGCCTTAGGTTGATTTTTAATGCTCTGGCAATGATCTTTTTCTCATTAAATTTTCCAAAGGTAGTTTTTCAGTTATATTATGTTAATCAGAGAAGTATGTGTTTCATATATACTACATTATACATATATATGACATACTTACAAATTGATGTATATAATGCAATATATGTATGTAAACAAAAAGTTAATCAATGAGATTGTTAAAAATTTATTTGCTTGGGTTTTGTAAACAAAGAGTTAATCACTTATATAGAATATGTAATTATATGTTTGTTTAGTATATAGGAACTTTCAAATGCCTTATTGTCTTATAAAGCGTATTAGTAGTGACGGTGCTGGATGGTCTGACAACTTCTGGCAGGGTCCAGGATTGAAGACCCATTAGAAGTCCAGGGGCTTAGTGTCCTCTGTTGCCTGAAGATATTGGGAGATTTTGGACCATTTTAAGCTGTTCTGGGACCTTTTAGAACGTATTTTACCCAACAAAACTTAAAAAAATAAACATTTTATTTTCTTGTTTTGGTTCAACAATTTTTGTCGCCGCCACTCTGAACTATGTAACTTATAATTGAATTCTTGTATAATTATAAATTCATGTTTATTCTTTTTGATTTTAAGTAATCAATTTTTAACAATTTTCTATGCGAGTGACTAGTCTACCTTGAACTTAAGGTTGATATTTATTATTAAACATCGGCACAAATAATAATGGTAGTTGTTGGTAGAAAGGTTATTCAAACCTTTAGTGCAGTAAATACAACAACATAGATATTGCATTAAGTAAGTGGAGAGTGAAGTCATTAATCTTTGACATCGAACATTTATTTTGTCAATGGTAAATTTGCTGACACTGTATCTTTACATATTTTACCTTATCTACTGAATAATATTAAATATTATTATGAAAAATATGTTTTTAAAAGTGTATTGGGTATAGAACATACATAAATTAATTGTTTTAGTATTATGGTGGTATGGATAATTTAAATTTGTTGTTTTTATATTATATTATAATTTCTCTACATATATCAGATTATCTGTTTATTAAAGAATTACCAATGTTTTAATAATGCTCTGTTCAGACTACCAAATCTACTGAATAATATTAAATATTATTATGAAAAATATGTTTTTGAAAGTGTATTGGGTATAGAACATACATAAATTAATTGTTTTAGTATTATGGTGGTATGGATAATTTAATTTGTTGTTTTTATATTATATTATACTTTCTCTACATATATCAGATAATCTGTTTATTCAAGAATTACCAATGTTTTAATAATGCTCAGTTCACACTACCAAATTTTAAATTTCAAATCAAAATCAAATGTGACATGCCTGTATGGTTGTGATTATGGTGTGGACAGAGCTTATGATTGAATTTATACCCAGATTTAAAGACTGTGTTGTTAGACCCAGATATAAAGACTGTGTTTTTTACATCAGTTGTATTAGACTTGCGTACAAATTTTGGATTCATCAGAAAGTTACTTGCCAATTAAAGGAAGAAAGTATGTTTAAAATAATGCTCTGTATACCAAGATGAGATGATGATTTTTAAAATGTGAAAAGAAAATTGGTTTTTATGGGTTTGGAAATTTGAAGGCCAGCATCTTATCCACCAAGCTGTATAATTCTGCTCTAGATAGTGTACTTAGTAATGATAACAGGGTTCCAAGTTGAAAGAAGTCAGTTCCGGAAGATTTGTTTAAATGAGCTTTCTCAACACATCTAACTTTCTTTTGGTGCACATGCTGGTATGCATCAGCACTGCTGTCTGTGAGATAATTGATAATAAAATAGTAAAAACATGCAAATATTATGCATTTGCGGAAGGTAGGTTATTTTCTTGGAGCTGCTTGGTGTAGTGCTGGAGACTGTACTGATGGGAGAGACTCCTCCAACTTACTGGAAACTTGGGAACCCCCCTGTAATAATAATAATAGGTTTTGCTATGTTGATGGTAATGAAGACCAGTGTTCAACAGGAAGCTTTTGCAACAATAGTAAGATCATAATGTTGTCATATGCACATCAAGGACGTTGAATTCCCGTCTGAAATTTAGCACCAAGTCTATGTTGTACAGAGAATATGTTAGTACTGACAAGTTAATCTGTTCTATGTCGATGTGTAAATTGGAAGTTCACTTACGATTTTTTTTTTTTTTTGCATACTGTTTAAGGCGCTTCAACTGAAGCATAGCCTAAATTCTTGTAGTTTAAACTATGTTTTGTGGTTTGACCAGGACCAGTGGTGCATCCAGGGAATTGAAAAAGAGGGGGCCCAGAGAGGGACTTTCACAGATAATAATACCTCAGCCCCACCATGGTTGGGGCTGAGGGAAGAACATTAATGATTATGGCACCTGTAGTCTGGAAATTGCATTCTTAGACTCAAAATAATCTTCTTTTTTTCATTTTTTTAATACAGGTATTTGCAAAAATTGGGGGGGGGGGGTCAGGTGGTTCCCCCCTTGAAACTGAGGACTCTGTAGATAAAATTGTTGTTCTAACTTTATATAAGTTGACATAAGATGAGAATGTATAATAGTACAGTACTTAGGTAAGTGAACATCTAACATTTAAATTCATTCAGCAATTTGATTATACTACAATAAGATGTAATATGTGGAAGCTGGGGTGTTTATGTGGTACAAACCCATTGTATGCTATCGTGGAGGTTTAAAAGTAACCTTTGCTGATGAATCAATAAATGAAAGCGTAAACGATAATAGACCCTTCCGGAGCGTTAATTAAACTGAGCAGTAAGCCAGTGCCAGGAATACATGTTGTTCCCCAAAAGCATGTGTTTACGCTATAGTTTTATTGTCGCTTAGCAACTCGAGCTTTCGATTGCACGACGACGGGAGGACGTAGAATGTAATGACGTCACTTAAAGTCATCTGCACAAATTGAAAGCTCCGTATCCAAGGGGTGGACCTTAGCGAAAGGTCATCTGTAAAATATTAAAAAGTTAGAAATGATATATCGATATCTGAAATCTGCTATAAATCTAAATGAATTAAAATGTATGATTTTTATTTGTGTTCTTTGCTTTCCTTCAAATGTTGTCCTGCTTGATGAATATGCTTGATGGTGTTGATGAAACATGATGTAGATGTCCACTGGAATCCTTTAGTTTCATGATGATTTCATTCCCTTGTTCATCCATCTAAATTTTCCCCTGTTGCATATTTGATTTCCACGAAACCAACTCCCCCGATGTTAGCACCAGTGGGAGAGAATTGTTGTACCAAACAGTAAACTAATCATTTTTCTAGGTGGCAATCCCTTCACAAGACAAACCTACACAAAGATAACTACATTTCTAATATTGTATCGAAGAGTAATCGTAAACTGGGTATGATAAAACGTGCCGTTGGATATAATACCCCTATTGAGGTTGCGATTACTTTTTGATACAATATTAGAAATGTGGTTATCTTTTGTGTATGTCTTGGATTGCCACCTAGAAATGTGGTAATAATAACAAAAACAACAACAATAATAATAACATAAATTCACGTTCCGTTTTATTGTAAGTCATTACTTTTCACATTGAATTAAGCCCATGAAACCAGATATTCTTCACAGTGAATTAATTACATTCAAACACTATTTTTTAAAATGTCAGTGCATATTAATGTTATGTATTGAAATTTCTCTCTCAACCCAGGAGTACAAGTGGGTACCTGGTAGGTTCAAACACAACCATGCGCAGATTACAGCTGCAATATTATGGGGCATGAGTGTTGTGTTCCATGTGCTTCATCCAGTGACCAGGGGTAATAATTTAAAGCGCATAGAGGTTAGTCTACAATATATGCTATATAGGTCGACAATTATTATTATTATTATTAAATAAGAAAAAAAGAATACAAATTCCCCTTCCCCCCGTTTTGGATCCGCCCCTGTTCAATGAGACTAATTAATAATAGTTTACGTTCTACTATACAAATGCCCGTTTGAATATCCTCATGATGCTTGGACATCTTGATCTGGGAAGCAACCTCGTGGTTTACAGATTTCAGGCAAAATTTTAAAAATGTTGAACTTTACTTTGAATTATAAGAATTGTACACTGACGTCGTTCCCGGTGACGTTGTGTTTTCTTAATTTATCGTAGCATAATGTCACAAATTGGTTGCCTTATAATTTACAGTAAGACATTATTCTTATTCGTAATTTTGTTGTTAATAATTCACAATCACATGGATTATGAAAAACCTGGATTTCTCCATGATGGGAGGATATTATTGTAATGTAATATGGTGTTTTTTTAATAATAAAAAATGGAAAACGGATTTGAAAATAAGTTAGTTGGTTAGGCCTACATTGCATGCTTTTTGTTTCTCGTTGTTTTATTGGAAAATTTTAGGTTTTCGAAGTTAATTTCGACATTACAAAACTTGCATGAAGTAGGGCCTATTTTACGGTAGCTTGATGCCTTTCAAATAACTAATAAAAATTCACCAAAATTCGTAAAATATTCGTAGCTTTCCCCCTGGCCCCCAGCCAAGTGAGGCTCACTTCCTCGCTTAGCCCTCCCGTCGGGGCCTTTAGCCCCGCCTGTCGGGCAGATCCCGGTGCCATCACTGGTAGGCTACCGCTAGTAAGTAGCTAGTACTGTATATAGCCTACTTTATGTCTCATGACCTGCTTGCTGCAATGAGTAACCGTAAATACGTATTTATGCTTCTAAATAAACCCGTTTTGAACACCAAACATTAACTATTATAAAGTAACGTAAAGTTGTAGCGGATAAAAGTATAGCATTACTCGACTTAATCTGGAGTGTCATATTGGGTGATTTAAAAAAAGAAGAAAAGAAAAAGCACTGACAAGTAGCAAATAAAATACATTGGTTTGTTGTTCTAGATGTATACCTATTGTAGATTAGGCTCCATCACAAATTTTATTTTTAAAGCACCTCTACACTTC